TTTGTTTCTGAAATTAAAATCAGTTATAGCTGAGTCTTGGTCGTGTCTCTGATTATATTAACACTATTTAAAATTGCTGCTGAGGCCAAGGGTAATTCGTATTGGTCCTTCTCTCTGGGTGTGAGTCAAATATAAGTTTAACAATTAGCTCCTAAAAACATTCCACTGAACTCAAGAATGCAACAGTCTTATTACCTCATCATGGAATTCTCTAGCTAAGTTAATTTAAATATTGTTTCTTAGTTTCTAGGTCAATTAAATTTAAATGATGTATTTTATGCTTCGTGACCAATTAAATTAATAGGTTATTACAAAAAATATTATCATCTTTTTTGATTAAAGAGCTGTGGGTACAGTATATTTTATAAGCAATTTTCATTAGTTCAAAAATGTTCCTTTAGGCTAGATTAAGCAGCCATTCATTGCAAGAGCCTGGAGACCTTATTCGAAGGTGTTCATCGTATTCACAGTACACTATTACTTAGAACTAAAGCCAATTGAACCTACTTAGCAATAGCGTTATGCCTTTCACCCTTGATGATTATGGAGCTTATAGCTCTCAGAAACAATACACCTGTCAGTTTCCATCAACTATAGCAATCCATGCAGAAGACAAGAGGCCTCTCAAAGCAGGAGGGGTATTGTTTTAGGTTCAATTTTTCTTATTGTTCTCAAAATCATTGAAAGGTGGACAGGGTTTTGTGAAGGCTTTCTTTCCCTAGCTCTAAGGAATCATGAGGAAGGAATTCATTGATAACTGTTATTGTTTTGTTTTGTTTTGTTTTAATTTTCCAAAAGTACAAGTTTAGCTAAGTAATCAGCCTTAGTGAGCCTGTCTAGTTAGTTTCACGCGAGATGTTTCATGACCAGTGCAGGGCACTCTTGTACTCTTGGTAGAGAATATCTCAGGGAACAAAAGTGCTTTTTCAGACCAGACCTTAAATAACAGTTTTGTTTTTTAAATAAACCAGACCTCAGTAGGCTGACCTGATGACAATGACAATGAAAAAAAAAAGTAGTCACAAAATGAGAGTTTCCAGCACAACATTTCTCATTTTATTTTCTTCTATATGAATCAAAAGAATACTTCACAGAGCCATGTTCCCTTGATCACAGTGTCCCCTGGCTTTCATAGGATCGCCATAGCCAGAACCACACTATTGCTTTTTCATAATATTTTCTTTTTGTTTCTTTCTTTTGAATTTCTACAGGGCTGCAAAGTATGCCAGGGGAGTATGTAGCCCGGGGTGGTCCAATGGGTGTGAGTATGGGACAGCCAAGTTATACCCAACCCCAGATGCCCCCCCATCCTGCTCAGCTGCGTCATGGGCCCCCCATGCATACGTACATTCCTGGACACCCTCACCACCCAACAGTGATGATGCATGGAGGACCGCCCCACCCTGGAATGCCAATGTCAGCATCAAGCCCCACGGTTCTTAATACAGGAGACCCAACAATGAGTGGACAAGTCATGGACATTCATGCTCAGTAGCTTAAGGGAATATGCATTGTCTGCAATGGTGACTGATTTCAAATCATGTTTTTTCTGCAATGACTGTGGAGTTCCATTCTTGGCATCTACTTTGGACCAAGGAGCATCCCTAATTCTTCATAGGGACTCTTAAAAAGCAGGAAATACCAACTGAAGTCAATCTGGGGGACATGCTAAATAACTATATAAGACATTAAGAGAACAAAGAGTGAAATATTGTAAATGCTATTATACTGTTATCCATATTACGTTGTTTCTTATAGATTTTTTAAGAAAAATGTGAAATTTTTCCACACTATGTGTGTTGTTTCCATAGCTCTTCACTTCCTCCAGAAGCCTCCTTACATTAAAAAGCCTTACAGTTATCCTGCAAGGGACAGGAAGGTCTGATTTGCAGGATTTTTAGAGCATTAAAATAACTATCAGGCAGAAGAATCTTTCTTCTCGCCTAGGATTTCAGCCATGCGCGCGCTGTCTCTCTCTCTCTTTCTCTCTCTCTCTCTCTCTCTCTCTCTGTCTCTCTTTTCCTCTCTCTCCCTCTTTCTAGCCTGGGGCTTGAATTTGCATGTCTAATTCATTTACTCACCATATTTGAATTGGCCTGAACAGATGTAAATCGGGAAGGATGGGAAAAACTGCAGTCATCAACAATGATTAATCAGCTGTTGCAGGCAGTGTCTTAAGGAGACTGGTAGGAGGAAGCATGGAAACCAAAAGGCCGTGTGTTTAGAAGCCTAATTGTCACATCGAGCATCATTGTCCCCATGCAACAACCGCCACCTTATACATCACTTCCTGTTTTATGCAGCTCAAAAACATAGACTGAAGATTTATTTTTAATATGTTGACTTTATTTCTGAGCAAAGCATCGGTCATGTGTGTATTTTTCCATAGTCCCACCTTGGAGCATTTATGTAGACATTGTAAATAAATTTTGTGCAAAAAGGACTGGAAAAATGAACTGTATTATTGCAATTTTTTTTTGTAAAAGTAGCAGTTTGGTATGAGTTGGCATGCATACAAGATTTACTAAGTGGGATAAGCTAATTATACTTTTTGTTGTGGATAAACAAATGCTTGTTGATAGCCTTTTTCTATCAAGAAACCAAGGAGCTAATTATTAATAACAATCACCGCACACCGAGTCTCAGCGTTTCTGACGGAAGCAGTTTGGATTGTACAGTAACGCCAAGTCCAGTTGTAGTTGTTCGAGTGCAGTAATGAAATCTGAATCTAAAATAAAAACAAGATTATTTTTGTCATGCTGACTCCACTGCTTGAACAATTTGTTTACTGCCCCCCAAATTTTGATGATTAATGCAGTAAATGTAAAAATTAATCTTAGCTCCCTAAGACATATATATATATATATATATATATATATATATATATACTTGAAAATTTTAACCACAGAGTAAATTATTTAATAATAGTTACTGATTTCTTTAAGCTGACTTAATGAACCAATATCAGAACATTTAAGGCCTAAGGGCACTAAACTAACTATAGACTCAGATTACATCTGACAGAATTACTTGTCTAATATCAGTGAAATTATTCTTGCACATAATGGCAAACCAAGTACAGAGTTAAGTATTTTGCTGAGGATGTTACCTACGATAAGCAGTATATGTTTATAAGGAAATTAACTACATGAATTGAAGAGACCAGACTTCAAAATCTAATTTTTACAAATACGCTCTATGTTCTCATTGGATAACACTGGTTATTAACTAATTTTCTAGAACAGCTGTACAGAATTTCTGCATGGCAGCCAGCTAAATGGCACAAAATAACATGTTTAAGCTGGAAGAGCTTATAATTTTATTTAAATAAAATTGCTGCTATAAAAGTGCTTCCTAAAGCTAAGGAAAATATACAAATATTTTAATTAAGGCAAATTCATTTTTAAAAATCAGCCTTTTAGCAGTGATTGCTTTGTAAACAAAGGATGGGCCAGAGGAGAGCTCCTTAAACTCAAGTCTGACATTCAGGCCCACGTCACTCTATAAACCTGCCCTGAACAATTCTATTTTCTATGTGAAAAGGGAAACCAGCTGTGGGTTGGGTTTACTAGGTGACGTGTGATTGACTGACTCACCTGCGGGAGCAGCAGTGCGCACTCTCACCTTTTGTTTATGGGGCCTTGTTTCTGAACACGTGGACACGCAGAAAGAGAGCCAGGCTCAGCCTTCTGCAGCCTCCCGCTCAGCGCCTCCACCCCACCCCACCCCACCCCCACCCCCACCCCCACCCCATATATGGGATTGTTTAAATATCCCTTTGGACCCGGTGGCAATTCTTCCTTTACATAAATAGTTCATATTAGTGAAATACTTCTCTTTTGATAGGTGGTTACTAGCCGTTAACAACCATTTATTTACTTTAAAAATTAATAATAAACTTTATAAACTAACCATCCATCTGCCCCTCCTCCCCAGTACATGCCTGGGTGAGTTGGTTATTTTCAGCCTTTATTCTTGAGGAAGCTCTTGCTGGGTGGGGGAGGGAAAGAAACGGGAGGAGGGAGAGAGCGTGAGCAAAAGGACACACGTAAAGAGGAATTAAGGAATATGGAGGCTATGAACAATCAAGATCATTAGTGCCCCGTGAATTAGAAAAAAAACAAAACACACTCTGTTCTTTCCCTGCTCTCCCCGCTCAGTGTGATGGTTTTGGTGACAACTTCGCTCTCCGCAGGTCCTATATTGGCCCTGCCTCGATGCCCCCCCACCTCCACCTTCGTGCCGTTTTAGCTCTTCCTCTTGTAAATTTCAGAAACGATTCCCAGGTTATTGAGGACACTTATCCGGAAGAGGGAAATAACAGAGGTGCTGAGTGTTTTCGATGTTTCTTGAAAGGCAAAAACAAAACGCCCTCTTCTAAACAAGGGCACGCAATAGTACCTGCTTCTTAATTTTATTTGGGGAGGGGAGCACTGGCGAAAGGAGATTACCTTTCGGTATGATTTAAATATTTTTTCCAAAAAAAATTAAAAATATCTTACCCTATCATATTTAATCAGCTGTAATTATAACACATTCAAAATGAATAATATGCCTTGACAGTATTTTTATTGTTATTGTTCATTGCATGATGTTCTACTGCTTTAGAAGCACAGGAAAGAGAAGTAAACGCGCTACAAATGGGGAATTACCCTCGTTTAGCATTAAAATTCATTTAGATAAAATTGCCACAAACATTTAAATGGGAAGATTAGTTCCCCCTCACGCCTTATTGCACTCGCTCAATGGTTCCGTTAAGAACATTTTACACGTTGGAAATTCCGTCTTCTCAGACGGCTTGCTGTTTCCTAGTTACCCACATTCAAAGCAACGGCAGCAGAAGCGGCAGCAGCGGCAGCAGCAGCGGCAGCAGCAGGAAAAAAAAAAGTTTGGCAACTGGTCTGCAATTCATCCGCTGCCTGCCCCAGCCCCCGCCTGGTCCACGGCAGCCCTCCCCCCACCCATCGCCTTTCCCCACATCTCCCCTTCTCCTCCCATTCTGTTATCTGCAGAGGCCAATTCTCGAAGAAACAAGTTGCCTTGTTGTTTAGTATTTGTATATAATGTTAAAATACAAGGAAATATTAAAAAGCCAGTCTGTCTCCCGGTCTCCCCTCTCCCTCTTCTGCTCTGAATTGAGAGTTTACTTTCAAAGTGCCGAGTTTCTCACATCTTCTGAGCCCACAGGCACGTTTTTTGACTTTCTTTTCTGCCAGGACATTTCCAGGAAATTCACCACTGCTTCTGGCTTGTATTAGAAACGTGTGAAAGTATTAGTCTGAGAAGTCCCTGCAACGTCTAGTTTCTCCCTCTCCTCTCGCTCGCTCCCTCCTTTTCCTCCTTTCTCTCCTTCTACCCCCTGCTCTTCCCCCCTCTCCTCCTCCCCTTGCAGAGCCGCAGGAAAAGAAGAACGTCGGCTTCGACTGCCACCTTTTGGGGATTTGGAAAAACGACTCGGTAGGAGACGGAGGGAGGCGGAGGCGCGGAGGGTGGGGGGAAAACCCCCTTATTATCCTGTGTCGGAACTGGCTCCCTTAATCTGATGCTTAAATATTTGATGTGGAAAAATTACCCATAAAATTAGTTACTAACAATTTCAAATTGAAATCACTTATCGAATTATAAACGCATTAAAGCTGTATGGATGGTATTAGGAGTTCTCGGGAGGCAGCGGGTGTCTCCTTGCAGTGCGCCCTGTCGGCGAGTTTCGCCCCGGGGAGAGGCAACCCCGCGGAGCCCGGGAAGGGAGTGGGCAGGGCGCCGCGGCGCTCCAGGCAACACCGGGTCCCCACGGGGGCGGGGGGAGGATTCGAGTGGGCGGCCAGGTCCAGTCGGAGGCTCAGGCTGGCTGGGCTCGCGGGGGCGGTGCAAGGCTGGGACCACAGCGTGGAGGTGCCTATCAGGAAACTTCGCGGGGAAGTGGAAAGGTTCGGAAAAGGAAAAACACAACCCCGTCCGCCCCCTCCCCTCCGCGTCTCCCACCAGGCGCACAGAATTTGCGCCCCGCGTCGGTTGCTGTGTGCAGCGCCCCCCCTTCCAAGTCTGCTGTTGGGAAGCGGGAGGGCAGTAGCCGGTGGCCTTAGGCTAGGCCGAGCTCCGCGCCCCCACAAAATCCCGCGGGCCTCGGCGACAGCTGCCAAGAGTGCTGGCCAGGACGCGGCTGCCCTTTTCTCCTAAGGCGCACGGCGTCTCCGCCTGCACCCGGGTACCTGGGTGCACAGGTCTCCGCTCAGAAGCCAGATCGTCTTGGGGGTGCTGCTCCAGCACCTCCAATAGCCTCCTACTTCCTCTCCACCACAACAAGAAAGTCAAGTCTAAAGGTTCTGCTGACTTTGCTTCTGGAGGCAAGAGACCACAGATCTGCGCAGAAGATTGTGGAGAGGCACCTCCTGGGGTACTATGGTTCCCTTTCCCTTGGAACCGCTCAGGGGTGCTTTACAGGGGACTAGAGGCTTCTTGATGAACTCTGTTCCGGAGGCTCCCGGTGGCTCTGGGGACGAGACCCCGAGAGCTTGGGGTCCAAAGGCTCTGGGACCTGGGCAGGGTCCGCCAGGTGGGCCACGACCGTCTGGGAGGCACAGTAGGGGAGCCGTGGGTAGCACCTCGATACCTTAAGCAGGCGCTCCTAGGAATCACATTAAAATCTCTGCAAACTTTCCCCTGCCTTTCGGATCCCAGCAGGCCCTCGGCCCAAGAGGATTTGGCGCAAAGCTCCTGCGTAGGCGCTTGGACGACAGATGGAGTGGCGTGGAATTGGGTAGTGGGGTGACTTGCTCGGCCGGATATTTCCCCTGGTCTCACTCCCCTCTCCCATGTACCCCGCACCCAATTGGCTGTTAGGCGGCCCGCAACACTCAGGGTGGCCAAGTGTAGAGTCCGCTTGAGGCTGGTCATTCCAGAGTCCTGGAAAGAGCGGTGAGGGAAAGGAGGGGATCGCCCCTCGACTGAGGCGGCTGATCGGGGGTGGGGGGGGCGGGGGGATGGACTCCTTTTTTGGCTCAAGCTGCGGGCCAGCGCGTCAGTAATGTTCTCTCGCGAAGGCGGAGCTGGAAGGAAAAACAAAACACATTGAGCGATCGGTTTTCCAACATTTGAGCTTTTAAGCGTCTTTTCCTTAAAAACGGGTACCCCTGGGTCTTAGTGGAGAGATGAGGGGGCCATTTTAGGGTCTCGGTTCTGGCGGGCCGCGCTCGGGGATCGCCCCCCCGCGCACTGCCTCCTCCCGCCCAGCAAGCTCAGCCCACAGCCGGGAAACACTGGCGATGAAGCTCTGGAGAAAAGAGATTTAGTTTTAAGCCAGTCTCCCATCGATCCGGTCGGTAATTCTTACCCCTGCCCACTCGCAGATACACTCACCTCTACCCTAAAGCATTAAGTTCATTACCCGAGTAATGATTTTAATCTGCAGGCGGAAAACGAGTCTTGGGACTTCGCCGATTAGGGAAGCAGTGAATAAAATCACCTGCTCAGGCACCCGCGCGGCCGGCTCCTCCGGGTGGGGGCCTGGAGCGGCATGGAATGCTGCGCAGGGGTCCCTCGCCCCACGGCTGGGCGTGCCGGCAGGGTTCAGGAACCCCGTGTCTGCTTTCCTCGGGTTGGCGACCTTGTGGAAGCGCGAGGTTGCGCTCGCTCGCTTTCCTCCTCCCCTCCTTTCTTCTTTTCTTCTGCCCCCGCCGCCCCCTTGCCCACCGCCCCCTCACCTCCGCGCTCTCTCCCTCCTCCCTTCCCCAAAAGTGGAGAGCTCCCCTTCTCCGAGTGGCCTCAGGCTCTCTCTCCCACCTTCGCTGCAGCCGCGGATCCCGCACTGCAGTGCCAGTAACCCTTCGCCTTTAGCGCCTGCCTCCTTCACCCACCATCCTGGACACGGGTGGGTGGGATTGCTCAGCGAGGCCCTTTTGAAGCCTCTTGCTGAGGGAACCCTGGGTCTTTAAACAGCCGGATTCTTGGATCTAAGGGAGATCCCCACGCTCATTGATAATTTTATCTAAAAGAAACCCAGCAAAGCTGCAAACACCCCTCTAAGCCGCCTGTTCCTCACCCCCACCCCCACCCCCACCTCTGCCTTGGCATCGGGCAACGTCTGGCAACGCGGGGAGATGGAAGCCGGCCGAGCGCCCGCGCCCTTGCTGGCCGACCCGCGAGGCGCCAGCCTGTTCTGGAGACTCAGTTTCCACCAGACAATCGTGAAAGCGGGGAGAAATACAACGCAATGGCAGTGTCAGTCCACCTTCCTGCAGCCCCCACGCCACCCCAGTCTGATTTTCCAGACGTGGATTTTCAGGGAGTCCCAGACTGTGAACAGCGAGCTTTGTGCGTTATCTAGGGGGTGGTTGGGGGGGTGGAAGACGAGGAGACTCCCACCGCCCGCTGCAGTCTTTAATGTCTGAAATAACGAAGTGCCTGTGTGGCAGCTGCTGCTAGAGCCAAAACTAACTCTTTGGAAGACGGAAAAGAGTGAGAGGCAAAGAAAGACTGTTCATTTTTTTTCCTTTGGTGCCGTTTGGGATGTCATCTGTTTCCTTGGCGACTGTGTTCAGCCCCCGGAGCCCCTGGGCTCCTGGATTGTTAGGGGGGAAAAAGCATGCTATTTCTGCACCGTCATTTATCACTGTCACCGCATAATGATTCCCCTTGCAGCCCCTTATTGATGTTTGTAATTGCATTATCTCATAAAGGAGGATGATCAATGAAACCGAGCCGTGCATTCTGGGGTCAGAGGAAGCCAAAGTACTGTTTGTTCCCTTTAATACAACAAGTACTCATTATCTTTAGGTCTGCATTCAAAAAATGATCTGATCTGGGGCTGACCCTGTCGGACATCCCAACACTTTTTAAAACGCGGTTTGTGTAACCTTTTGCTTAAATGCTAAATCAAGTACCTGTCTTGCATTTCAACGAAACAAGATGCTAAACCGGAATGGAAGAAGTATTTTTCTTTTTCTCTTTCTTTCTTTTTCCTGGGAGGGGTGCAATCGTCTGAAGATGCACACGATTTTACTCTACAACTGTTTGGTGGCATCATGTAGAGAAAGCAACTTCTAAGACAAGAGATCAAGTTATCTCTTGGATGAAAAAACTGGGGTGAGGAGGTAAAGGTATCTGGGAGCATTTAACAAGGTCGGTACTAAAAGATCAGAATAAAATCACATCCGGTTTAATTAATAAGAGCTATAAACTGAAATAACTCCCCATGATTCTGCCCTTGCTTCTCCCTTTTACCGAGTCGTATCTCTTAGGTGTAGATAAATGACTTCTGTGCCTGTTCGATTCTCACAACAACAATAACGAAATCAGTTGCACACTGTATCTAAAACTGTCTACAAACTCCAGCAAATAAAAAGAAGTTCATTTGTCTATGAAAGGCAAGTATTTAGTTGAGCAGAAATGTCCCAGTAACACTGAATGGAGTCCATGCAATCCCATGAAAATCAAGTCATCTTGTTGCACTGAAGTCAATGAAAAAATACAAAGGAGGAAAGGTCCCAGTGTAATTTTAAACTGAATGCATTATTGGGCTGTCAAAGCAAAAACGTGACTGTGGCTGGGATGGGGGGAGCAGACACCAACCCAGCTCACATTTAACTTACAGGTCTTAGACAGGAAACAAGCATCCCAGGTGTGGTTATCATTTTAATTTGTGGGAAGAGGAGTAATAGAGACAATTCTAATGAGTCATTTCAAAAAAGTAGGGTGAATCCTTCAAAAACAAAATTAACCAAAGAGCTTATTTTGAACATTTCAAAGCTGTATTACCATAAGGAAGTTTCCAATCTTCTGAAGATAAATTCTCCCATGTTACTAAGACTACCGGAAAGGAAAAGAAGAAAATAAAAGAAACTGACTAAGTCCAGGTGTTTATTTTAAAAGTTCTAGAAATAATTCCTAAATTAATGATATAAATCAATATTTTAAATAAAAAGATCTAAATGAAAAGCCTTCACCATATGAGAAAATGAGTAGCTAATAAATTAAAGTGTATTCTGATATTTGACACCTTGACATAAAACCTTACATCGAATGGTAACAAAACAAAGGACTAAAATATTCTCATTTTGAAAAAGAACTTTAATGATAAAGCTAAGAAAACTTTTAACTGTGTTGAGCCATCATTTAATTTTTTTCTAAAGGGAGACTCTTCTAATGGGTATTATTTTCCTAGGAATTCTGTCAAATCACGTCAAAATAATGTATGTTTTGTATTATTTAAATATTCTGGCACTTTCATTCTTTGAAAATGCTCAAAGTGAAATGTATACAGCCACACATATATTTAATATAAATGGTACCTTGTTAACATGAAATATTAACGGGAAAATAAAACTTTGGGCTTTGTAAGTTGAGATAGAATTTTTTAAGTATGATACTCTGATTTTCAAAACACAAATAAAACCCCTTGATTTTAACCAATCAACATGTCTTTCTCTTGTTTGGATGGGGATCTGGCATCCTGTACATTTTCTATTTTTAATATTTAGTGTTACAGCCCACGGTTAAAATAATGAAAAATTAGTCTCGTTTCAGAAATTATTTATTTATGGAAGGAACATGATTAAAACATAAACACACACAAACTGCAGCTGCAACAGAAAAAAAAACCTTGATTTACGGTTATTAAATCTTTGATCGCCATGTTAATGTTTCTTTTTCTACCTTTCATTTGCATTTTAATCTATCGAATCTTTACAATTTTGCTGCCTCCTATTTCAATGATTGATTACAGATCTGAAATAAGAAAAACCAAGCCTAGCTTTTTCTTTTTCCTTTCTTTTCTTCTCTTTCTTTTTCCTCCCCCCTCCCCCCATTCTCTTCCCTCTGGGTAGATTTCTGAAACTTTCTCTCAATGGCAATGTAGACAGGACAAATTAATTCTCCTCTTTTAAATGTCAAAGATATAAATAAAAAATGTTTTCAGCCCCAAACGTGAATATTTTCCCAGCCGCTTGTTTTCGAGTCGTAAAAGAGCATCCCAGCAAAACGCAATTAACAGCGACACACACACACACACACACACGAGGCGTGGATTTTTTAAAGGACGTGTGTTAGTGAGTTCAAGAAAGGTGAGAAGTTCATCGTCCCCCTTAGCCATCAGTAGCCTGGCCGGCTTCGTTCTCTCTCACACCCACCCGGAGGTTTGGTCCGGAGTTCTGTTTGTTACCTAAGTCCTACAAACAAACAAAAACGAGCCTGGTGGGGCTTGTGCTGAAGTTGATTTCTGGAGACAGGCGGTGTAGAGACAAAAGGGGAGGCGACGCAGGTCTGTTTGTTTTCTTCCCCGGATTACCAACGCTTCTTTGCCCCCTTCTTCCCCCAGCCCTCCCCACACTTCCTCCCCGGATTTCTGCCACTCCGCGGATAAGACGGTCATTCGCTGACCGCTTTGCCCACCCGCGTCACTTTTCGCGATGGCGAGCAAGCCAGTGTGGCGGTGGGTATGCAGGGCGTCGGCAGGATGCAGGCTGGGCTCTTCCCCGCAGCCGGGCTGAGGGCCCCTGGGACCCTGGGAGGCTCGCGCCCTAAACAGATTGCGCCTCTCGAGGGGCCGGGGCCGGGGCCGGGTCGGGGCCGGGGACGTGGCCGGGGTGAGAGCCGGTACCTAACTGCCGCGGGGCGGGGTGAGCTCCAGGTGTGAGAGCGGAGGCCGGCGGGCGGGCGCGCAGGCTTTCCCGCCGGCCCGAGCGGGTGCGAACCTGAAAGGAGCTCCGCCACCCCCGCCCACCTCGGCGCCTGCTTCCCGGGGGCTAGCCTCCTCCGGGGGCTTTTAATGCCCAAAGAGGCGGAGGAGTCAGCAGTTGAGCGAGGACAGACTTCCCAGGCGGGTCCGGGCTGCTTGCACGGGTGTAGCGCGCGGTGCCCGAGGGGGGGGAGAGAGAGAGACAGAGAGACAGAGACAGAGAGAGACAGAGAGAGACAGAGAGAGACAGAGAGAGAGAGAGAGAGAGAGAGAGAGAGAGAGAGAGAAAGGCAGAGGCACGTGCGTGGGACCCCACCCCCGAAGTCCGTACTGGATCAGGCACCCCATCAAGATTAAAGGCGAGGGCCTGGAGAGGTAGATCTAGCCCAGGTAGTCTCTCCAACCTGACCCTTGGACCCAAGGGCGTGCTGGCCACGGAAGCACAGACCGTCTTCTCCCGGCCGGCCCTGCCACTGGCGTCTGCGTCGCCCCCTTTCTCCCAGAGACCCGGTGGGTGTCTGCCCCAGGGGGGCGATCTTTATTCACGGGGCCGCACTAGGCAGTTAAAATAGAGGAGATGGGGTAGGGGGTGGGGAGAAGACATTTGATCCCGGCCAACCTTTTGTCTTGAAGCAGATTAGGCAGCCTAGAAATAGGAGGAAAAAACAGAAAGCCTAGACAGGAAAACTTACTGTGTTCACCAAATAGAAAAATGAACCAAGCGTTCTGGTACCTCAAGGGGTGAAGATAGATCCTGGTAGACGAGTGGGAAGACAAGACTGGGGAGATTTAAAGTGAAAGGAACGGCAGATTATTAAGAAAGTAATAGTATGGTGTCCCATGTACTACAGTTTTATTGTTGGGTAGTAACTACCCGATTTATTTATTGCCAGGGCTATATAATAGAGATAATGACCACAAACTCAAGATAGATTTTTAGGCGCCCGGCCGGACGATTCTTTT